GAACTGGATTGTTCCTGTCCTTGGCATATAAAGGTTGCTGGACCCAATATAGAAAAAATAGCCCTAATTCTACATTAAAAATTAGAGGTGAAACATAGCAAGATTGAAGTCAGTGGGAGTTTTATTACTGATTTGGGAGGAGACAGGAATTTCATTCTAGCTGTTTTTGCCTTTTTATGTCTTGCATGTGACACTTTCCAGGACTTGTGAGCTTTGGAGAGTTGATCATGACAATATCACATAAGGCTCTACATTTAAACTTTCACAGAGAGTTATTTTTATTCCTCTTTTAATGCAACAAAACAGTTTTAATAGGAACATGCACTGCTTGTCCTCTGCTAAAAATAACCATGTCAGACAATGACTAATACTTTTTTTGGGACAAAAAGACAGAGCCTTTTTGGATCAAGCAAAAGGAATGATTTTCTTGTTGCTCTCTCTCCAGGTCTTTGAAAGGAACTAAGGCTTTTATTTATATTCAGTTATTTTTGTAAAAAATAAAAGAAATAGAGATGGATCGAATTTGTGCTATGCATATTGAAGAATAGCCTTCAGTAAAACAGTTGCAACAGTTTTGTAATTATTTCAGCAAAAACAAGGAACAATACAGACTTTTGTGATATCTCTGAATTCACTGTATGTCTCCCCCAAAATTGTAGGATCTGAATCTGAATCCTTGCACTGTCAGAAGGTCCAAACAAAGCTCTACCATCTCTGTTTATACTGGATAGTTCTTTGTATATGCCCTGTATATTGTTAGTTCCCATAAATGTTTCTTTTCTGAGTAATATTAGATAGAGCCCGATATCCTACTTTAACTTTTCCTTACACTACTTAAATTTAAACCAGGTGAAATACCCTCATGCTGGACAATTGCCAAAAGAAAAACAATGTATATTTAAATATATATTTCATTTCTGTAATTCCTAATTGTTTTCTTATAGTGGAGAGGTCTGGGTTCCTATAGGCAGTTAGAGGTTAGAAAATCCATAATTTACTGAAGTAATTGGCCTGTTATAAAAATAGTATGTAAAATGTAACATAATTTCTTGATTTGAATTAGCGATTTGTTTTCTTGTGTTAAAAAAAAAAAAAAAAAAAAAAAGTTTCAAGATGTATAGTTACTTATAGGCTGTTCAAATACATTTTAGATATAATATAAACTGTAATGTTGAGTTTATTATGCCTTCTTGGGTATCCTGTTTTGTCAGTACCTTTAGTGTATCCAGCAAATGGACTTGCTTGAAACAAAGCGGATCAGTCTTGCTGAGAAATTTACATTTCCATTGTCTTACCGGCACCCATTGTGTCAGATTTGCATTACATGTGGTAACCAGTGAGTTTTTTTTTTAAAGCGTCTCAGAATGAAAAGACCCACTGAATTATGTGGGTTTTGGTTTTGTCTCTGTTTCCCCCACCCCTTTTTAAATTTTGTTCTTATGTTGTGCTTGTGGTACTGGTATTTGAATAGTAAGCATACAAAATGGAACATAAGTAGTTTCCAGTATTATGGATCCTAACATTGATTTTTGTTTAGATGCATGGGGGTCTTGCCCAAACTTAATTTGTATTAAACCATATCCAGATTACATTATTTTTAAAATTAGGATGTGTAAAACAAATTCCTTGCCTGACTTTGGTCCATTCTGTGTTTAGCCTCTATTGCCAAGATTTTTGGAGCCACATGATACATTTAGTCTTTGTATGATTTTCAGATGTAGCCCCAGAAGAGGATGTTGTTGAAACACCTGCTGTGTCTCATGAAGAACACACACATCAAGAAATAAAGGGACATAAAACCCTAGCAACCCCTGCAGTTCGCCGTCTTGCCATGGAAAATAATGTATGTTTGTTTCTTACTGAACTGGGCCTTTTTACTTTCTTTTACATCTGTCTGGAAAGTGGCATGGCACTAACAGTCCAACATTGTTGAAAGATGGTGATCAGTTATCAAGAAAAAAATTGTGAGAAAATGTTGATGAATTACTTTTTTCAAATACAAGTATCATAGATGAAGTGGCAAAGTATTTATAAATATTTCTCAAATAAGAAAAAACTACCAAGAAGTCATTATTCAACTTTAATATGTGTAATTATCATCACATATAGTCTTTCAGATCATTTTGATAAAGTTTGCATAGGTGATGTTTAAGTAGCAGGAAAATGTTAAAACTGGAATGTTACTCGGGTACCTTGACAACACAGAAGCTGTTAAACTCTAATTTAGTTGTTCTCAAGCTTTTTAGAGTCATGGCACCCCTTTACAACTCTTGAATGTGGCAGTAACTAGAGGTGCATCAATATAACGGTTCCATATCAGATCGGTACTGATATAAGGAAAATTAACAGCATCAGCAATTGGCTTTTTCTGGCTGACGTGGCCAATAAATGACCTGTGTATGCGCGCAGCTGCAGCCCAGCACACAGGCAGCTAGGAGCGCAGTCTCGCAGCATGAAAAGCAGCTGGGTCTGGCTGGTAAGTATGTTGTAAGGGAAAGGGTGTGGGGGGGGCAGATCGAGGCCCCTGTGGTGAGAGAGGGAATAGGGCTGGGGTAGGGGCAGGGGTAGGCACTGCACAGCCAGGACGGAGTGTGGGATGGAGCCGGGGCTCCGTCCAGTGGACATGGGGAGAAGAGGCAGCTCCTGCCACTGCACACACCCTGGGAGGGCATGGGGGGCATGTTCCCCCAGATCTGTGCGTGGGGTGAGGGTGGGCTGACACTGTGGACTGGGGACAGGGCGGTGCCATGCTCTTCCCGGTGGGGGGTTGGGCTGGGGCTGCACTCAGGGCAGGTGGCGGTGGTGCTGGGAGGCGGGGTTGGGGGACTACAGCGATTTTTTTTTTTGGGGTGGCTGCAGCCCACCCATAGCTCCCCTCCCAGCACTGCGGCTGCCCACCCTGAGCATAGCCCTGCCCAGCCCCCTGCCAGGAAGAGCTCGGCATTGCACCCACCCTCGCCCCTGCACAGATCCAGGGGCACATGCCCCACCATGCTCTCCTGCGGTGTGTGTTGCTGCAGGAGCCATCTTTCCCCCCCCACACCCTCTGGACAAGCTGCTCGCGGCTTCATCCTATGACTCACTCTGGTTGTGCAGTTCCTGCCCCAGCCTCACTCCCTCCCTCACCACAGGAACCTCATTCTTCCCCCTTCCCTCGCCCCTTCCCCCACAACAGACTTACCAGCCGGATCTGCATAATTGATGATTGGATCGGTATCGGCCGATATGGCTCATTAAAAATTGACCATCGGTGTTGGCCCAAAAAATCTCTGTCAGTGCACCCCTAGTAGTAACCATGGATGAGAACCACTCTTATGCTTAACTTACTTTTGTGGTTCTCAACTGGATGTAGCTGCCACCAAGTAAAACTGTCCTGCATGTTTGGTGCAGCCTAGGAATATTTGTTACATTCACATGTGCCTTATTTGGGCTCTCTGATAAGTCTAAAGCAAGCAGCAGAGCTGACTTGTGCTGCAGCCCTTCACAGTCTAGCCCTGCACAATGTCTCTCAGAAACAGAGGCATGTGGGGCACATGGCACTTGTCTCTCTTTCTGGGAGGAGCATGGGCAGGGGGGAAGACCAGGAAAAGCTACAGCATGAGAGGAGTTATCGGAGAGCCTGAATGCAGGAGGAGTGTGTGCAACTGCTGCAGTCCTGCACAATGGACAGTTTTATCTAGACACTGCTGCAGTCATGGCACCCTGGGTTGTTGCACAACTGCTGATGAGAACCACTACCCTAATTGTTAGTGTTCACAAGCCTGCAGTAATACACAGGTTAAAGCTGGGGTGATTTAGCTTACCTGTATCACTACAGTCTCCTGTACATATAGCAGTTAGTGTGACCGTTGTTAAGTATTCCCAAGCAGCTGTTCACTCTCCGCATTTGAAACTGCCCCAGATTTTCATTTCTCCATGCCCTGTCATACACTTTCATATCAATATTATAAGAAGAATTTTGTGTACACGCTATATAGCAAAAGTTAAATAGCTTGTTTTATAATTTTCAGATTAAACTGAGTGAAGTTGTTGGAACAGGGAAAGATAACCGAATCCTTAAAGAAGACATTCTCAATTATTTGGCCAAGCAGACGGGAGCTATTTTACCTCCATCGCCAAAATCTGAGATTATCCCACCATTACCAAAACTAGAGACTGCACCAGCTGCTCGAAAGGATAAAGCACATACAATTCCTGTACCTATTTCAAAACCCATTGTGTTTACAGGAAAAGATAAGATTGAGCCCATAACAGGTAAAAGCATAAATGTAATCTTGGTATAGCATTGATAACTGATTCAGCTTGCAACAGTGAAAACATAAATAATGTTATCTATTACATTCATAGCTGCCAGTATTCTGTATGTATGTGTGTAGTTTTGCCCTGTTCCTGATTACTGGCTTTGAGCTGTTGTCCCATGTCATATTATATTGCTACGCAGTACAGACCTCTTTCTTTGAAGCTCTTTATGAAATGAGTAGTTTGGAAATTTTAAAACAATACTGTGATTACTATTTGTATAGAAACTGTTATGTAATTAAATGACAAGATGAGTGAATAAGTTTACCAGTGCACTTGGAGGAGGGGAAGAAGGTGATTAGGAACAGTCAGCATGGATTCACCAAGAGCAAGTAATTTCTGACCAACCTGATTGCCTTCTATGATGAGATGACTGGCCCTGTGGATGCGGGAAGACAGTGGATGTGGTGTACCTTTGATTTTAGCAAATCTTTTGATATGGTCTCCCCCAACATTTTCACAGGTAAGCTAAGGAAGCACAGGCTGGATGAATAGACTGTAAGGTGGATAGAAAACTGGCTGGATTGTTGGGCTCCATGGGAGTAATCAATGGGTTGATGTCTAGTTGGCAGCTGGTGGGGCTGTTCTACTTCCTTTGCCTCCAGCTGCAGCTGGTGCTGCTCCTGCCCCTGCAGCGCCACTCTAGGTAGGCGGGAAGCATCAGCTGGCCGGCTCCTGCCCAACATGTGGAGCTCTGACTCTAGCTCCGAGTTGTCTTCCACCTGCTCTGGCCGCCTGGTGTGATGAACAGCCACCTGTAGGTAGGTGGAATGGATAGAAAGTGGCCTGGAGCTGGAGCTCCATGTGCTGGGCATTAGCTGCCTGGCTGAACTTCCTGCCTGCCTGCCCAGAGCTGCATGGCACAGCAGAAGCAGCAGCTGGAGCTGGAGGCAAGGAGAGTAGAACAGCCCCTCCCAACTTCAGCCCTGGCCCCAGCCCCAGCCCCAGCCCCAGCC